CCTGCCTGCACGTCGCGGACAAAGACCCACCTTCCGTGGAAGGGGTGCCGGGGCCGACAGGGCCCAAACGGCGTGGCCGCAGTTCTGGCGGTCGGCGCGCGGTTTCCAGCGAGTGGGCCTCGGACCATTGCGCGGTTGCACGGGCCTCGCGCGCCTCGCGTGTGTGGCGGCCACGGTCTCGGCCACGGCCGGAATGCGACGTCGTCGAAGCGAATGTGCCCCACCTGGACGAGGGGAGCGCTCCTCGAGGACCGAGCCGTGCCGGGCCGTGCGGCCGCGCGGTGGCCGTGGGGCGCGGAGCCGGGCCGGGCGCGAGCAAGGGCGCGAGGGTGGCAGCCTGGTGGCAGCCTGGTGGCAGCCTGGCGGGGTGGCCGCACCGCACATTACTACGTATCGGGCGGTGGCAGCGCGCGGCGCAGCGCAGGGAGGCCCCTTTCCCTACACTACTAAAAAAATAAAAAAATAAATTTGGGCCGGTGGAAAAAAATGTGCAGCGCTCCTAGCGAAACGCGCTGGCCTACAAATGTAGGAGCGGGTGAGGAGCGAAGGGGCGGTTCGCGCAGCGGCGAGATTTCCCGGCCTCTTGTACGTGCGTGGGCGTGTATGAAACGTGTGTGTGTGTGTGTTTGTGCGTGTGTGTGTAGATTGATGGCGTTTGGTCCCGCAGTGACGAATGGCATTGAGCTCGCCCCCGGCGTTGCAGGTGGCCGTCGGTTTTGGGGGGTGGGCTGGGGAGAGGGGTATGGGGGCTCCAGCAGCCTGATGCGTGCATGACGATGCGACCGTCCCCTTTGGGCCCCGCCGCCTGCCCCCCAGTGGGCCCCCAGAGGGGCTGCACGCCGCCGCCTCCCCCATTTTTCACCCTGTCCGTCACTGATTAACTTATCTGTTCCGTTTTTGCGACGCGTTTTGCACGCCACTTGCCGACTCTCTCTTTCTCTCTGCAGCAGAGCGCTGCAGATCGCTCGCACGAGCCGTCCCCACCAATCTGGCCCAGTGCACCACACGTCTATCAAGGCTAATTTAGTGTATGCGCGATATTATTTAAACTGGGCGAGGGGGCAGTCCGCTACGAGCGGGGGTGGAGGCGGGGGGTGGCCTGTCCCCGACAGGCGGCACGGCGCGGCACCGCACGCCCCGGAACGGGCTAATGGGAATCCCATGTTTGTCTGCAGGCATTCCACAGCAACCCCTCCATTCGGCACTCGGTGCGACCACCTCGCCGAGACCACCTTCGCGTCCGTGACACGACCACGGCCTGGGCCTGGGCCCCCCGACGCGTCGCGACGCCAGACCACCTGCACAGTGTACTTCCGCTGTACCCCGTACCTACGCCACCCTGAATACTAGGGGGCGCAAACGCGCCGAACTAGCTTTTGCAACTACCGCAACCCCTACAACCAGACGGCTGCCTCATTGTGCTATGCTGGCGGCAGTACCCGAGACGCCACCCGTACGGCGCAGTGTGTGTGTTTGTGTGTGTGACCGTCTGTCTGTGTGTGTGTGTGTGTGGGGGGGGGGGCTGATGGCCATTACTCGTCTGCTGGCAAGAAGACGGATCGGTCGGGAAAGACGGCGGGGAAGGGGCACGGTCTAAAATGGCCAGAAACGGGAAAACAAAAGCTTTGGCCTGATTAATCGGGGCTCTGGATCGTTAAGTGGCACCGAGAGGGGGAGAGAGAGAGAGGGGGATTGACGTGGAAGGTAGGCGCTGTGGGCGGCCTACCTCCAAGGCGGCGACGGGCACCCTCGGCGTCGACGGGCACCTCGACGGGCACCTCGACAGGCACCTCGACAGGCACCTCGACAGGCACCTCGACGGGCACCTCGACAGGCACCTCGACAGGCACCTCGACGGGCACCTCGACGGGCACCTCGACGGGCACCTCGACGGGCACCTCGACGGGCACCTCGACGGGCACCTCGACGGGCACCTCGACGGGCACCTCGACGGGCACCTCGACGGGCACCTCGACGTATTGTCCGAAGGGCGGCCCACTTGGCGCAGGTGGAGGGCCGAAGGGCTCTGAGTGCACACGTGTGGCCCTTCCTATAATTCCGCTCAAGAGGACTCGAGCAGGAGAGAGAGAGAGAGAGAGAGAGAAAAAGTTGGTCGCCGAGAGGAACGAATTAGGAAATGGAATGTTCGGAAAGGATTGTTTTTCCGAAGTGGATTGTTTTTCAAAGTGTGCCAAGTCGCGACGGCGGCGGGAACGCGATGAAAAGTTGTTCTTTGGAATGGCGCCCCTTTAAAATTTAGTTTCCAGGGAAAGATTTTTCGCCGCGGTTCAATAAAGTTTGCCAGCGTTTGACTCGCTTGTTGAACGCGTGCCAGCGCTGCCCGTCGTGGGTCGTCAATGCGGGCTATCTGGCGGGCGGTGTTTGGCGCGGGCCACTACAGGGCCTCGCTGGAGGGCCTGCCGGCATTCCGGCCGCGTTGACATGGCCTGGTGGGCGGCGCTGGATGGCCGGTCGGCCTAGGCCCCCGGGGCTGCCCTAGGGCTGCCCGGCCGCGCTGGGCCAATCCCGCAGACGCGGTATAGCGTGGCGTGGCGTGGCGTGGCGCGGCGTGGCGCGGCGTGGCACGCCCCGACTGCTTTGGGGTGCTTTGCATGCCTGGCTTTGCTGGCACGGCTGATTGGGCTGTGGTGTGTCGATGGGGGAAGGAGATAGATGGCGGGGCGCGGCGGCGCGGCCGGGCGTCGAAAGCCGCGCTCGCTCACGGACAGACAGACGGACGGACGGCGACACACGCGGTGCAAGGTTTGGACTATCGCAGGCAGCATCTAGAGGAGCCTTCAACCTCGATTGTGGCAGTAGATCGAATTGAAGCGCGCTTAGTGCAAAAACAAAATCATCAACAACAGCGACTCGCCCTCAAAAGAAGTAAATATTGATTGGGAAGGGAGGACTGACGCTCTGCCTGCTAGAATGTGGCGGTGGACACGGTTTCCCGTTTTTGCGCCCCGCTTCCAAGAGGGAACTCTTCGGCAGTCGCTGTGCTTCCTGTGCGACCCTTTCTGTTTTTTCTTGTGTTTTTCATTTTGTTTTGTTGGCACGTCCGCTCCGGCTTCCGCCCGCTCGCCTCACTAGTCGGTTTAAAATATTGCGGGGTTTTCTCTCGCCATCTTTGGACGGCCCTCCCTTTGTGGCTGTCTTTGACAGGCGGCCCCCGCTCATCCGCTGAGCCCTTTTATTGTGTTTTTGCGCCAAATTGTGGCACACGTACAGGAAGGAATAACAAAAAAAAAAATAAAAAAGAGTGGACGTTTGCGGTCTTTTGCTTTCGCGTTTCCGTTGGATGGCGTGCTTCCGCGAAGAAGCTCCCTGTCCGTCCGTCCGTTCGTCCGGCCGGTTTGACCCTTGACCCAACTTGGCTCCGGAAATCGTAAAAGCATAATGCGTCCGCCCTGGCGGCCCTGGCGGCCCTGGCGGCCCCGCCGGCCCTTCGGCATCGATTAGCGGCCAGTGTGGGCCCGAGCGGCGTCTTTTGGGTGCCCTGCCGAGAAAGACGCGTCGCCCGAACCGCTCCTACATTTTCCCCGTTTTTAATCATACAAATGACCCGGAGGTCGCGCTCGCCGTCGTTTTACTGTCGGCCCCGCTGGTTTTTTTTTCATTAATTTACAAGTCCTAACAACAACAACATGACCGCATGGCGGCGGCCCGCCTTTTTTTTACGTTTTTTTTTGGCGTGTCAATTTGCGTCGAGCTGCGTGACATTCCTCGGGCCTTTGCTTTCGCTTTCGCAGCGACGCGTCCCCGTCCCGCGTGTATCAGATTTGATGCCGAGTGATTGGGCGACGTAAAGCCCGTCACCCCCCGCCGACAGGCAGACAGGCAGGCAGACCGACATGCAGACAGACAGGCAGACAGACAGTCAGACGAGCGGGACGGGTGGTCGCAGAATGGGGATTTGACAAGGGGTGACCAACTCGAGATAATCAGTGTGCGTCTAGTTGGTAATCAGTGAAACAGTCAGTGGAGATTCTCACACTCTTTGATCAGCTTTGTGACACGACTTTTTACCCACCTTTTCGGCTCCTCCCTTTAACCGCGCCTGGCTGGCCGAGCCTGGATTGGGCAGGGCTGAGTGACAAGGGGATCCCCATGCTGATGTCACTCTGGCGGTGGAATTGCAGCCCCGCTCCGCCACGCCATGTCCCGCGGTCGCCGGAGCGTTCCTGACGTTTTGAACACAACTTCATCTGTCACCGTTCCCGCTCCTTTCCCCAAAATGGCCGTCCTCTTTCTGTCTGTCGGTCTGTCCGTACCAGTTCGCAGTGGGCCAGAAGACCGGTGGAGGCGGCCAAAACTCCAGTCGCGTTTTCAGCTCCAGAGTCGCTAAACAGGACTCGAACTGAACGTGTGACCCCACCATTGGATTCCTCGCTGGGAGAGCAATGCATTGGTGGGGTCACACGTTAAGTTTGAGCCCCATTTAGCGACTCTGGAGCTTAAAACGCGTGTAGAGTTTATGCCGCCTCCACCGGTCTTGGCCCACTGTGCAGCGGCGTGCCACAGACTCGGCTCGTCGGACCAGTGCAGTTATTTGTTCGTTTTCGAGGCCGCACAAGTAAATAGTCGGCCTGGAGGAAGGGAGTCGTGTTTTTCAGAAGTGGCTGCTGCAATTTGGGCGTATTTGCCCGCTGCCCGGGGCGGCCCGCAGGTCTCTCCACTTCTTGTACATTTCTCCCCCCTCTCTCTGTTTGGCAACTGGGCGTGTTTTGAGAAACGAGTTTGAATTAGCTGTCGAGATGAGAGGGAGTCGCTTTTAGTTGGTTACTCGAGTTCTCGTTTTGGGGGCGTGTTCTTTTTTCCCCGGTTTCTGTTTTTGTTGGAGTGAGCACCAGGGCAAGTCAAAGGTGGAGCAAGTTAAATACTTGTGTCGAGAGCGGGGATTTATTGCGTTCTGCCTTGTCGGCCGCTACTTCCAGAAAACCCTTTTCAGGCAGAGTCTTTTATTGGCAGTGATGTGACGATGGGTCTCTTCGTTCCAGGAGGAGGAATGTAGGAATTCGCTGGACCCCAAATACTCCCACCTGAGCGACGACCTCCACGTAGAGATCTCGGCCATGGCGCCGCCGGCCGAGGCCCACGCTAGGATAGCCTTCGCCCTGGCCGAGATCAGGAAGTACATGGTCCCGGACAGCAACGACGAAATTCGGCAGGTAAGAAAAACCAAGTCTCGTTCAGTAGTTTTCATTCTTTATATTCATCCCACTTTTTTACTGGTTCCTTTGTTGAAATGCAGCCACTGTTGGGCTTCGTTTTGCTCGGCCGTTTCTGCCCGTCATGTAAATCACAGTGTCCCACATGAGGGGGAAAAAAGTGGAAATCCGCAGTGTTTCTTTTTGTTTGGCAACGATTGTGTTGTGTGCGGTCGTGCGGTCGCATTGTCGTTGGGCCGATCGCCATTTCGGATCGGTCCCTATATTGAGCTGCGGTGGGCCGCGCTTCGGCCCTCCCTTCGGCCCTTTGGCCCTTTGGCCCTTTGGCTCTTTGGCCCTTTGGGTCGCGGAACGCCAAGGGCGGAGCCGCGGAGCGAGGAAATTCTGACCGTTTTGTTTGGCCCGTTACAACACCGCTGTTTTTCTCCCTCCGTGAGCGAGTAATCAAGGGCGTCGTCTTGGCCTCTAATGGCCCTGCTGGGCTGCCGAGGGCTGCCGAGGGTCGCGAGGCAGTGAAAGGGCTGGCTTGATGACGATGGTGACGTCATACACACTCACTTCATTGGAAGAGGCGTTTCTGTTTGGAAATGAAAGTAGCCAGGTGCGCCATAGGAGACAGGATCTTTTGCCCCGCTTTTGCGCACTTCTTTGACCGAGGCGGACCTTACACTGTTCCAATAATTGACGGAGAGTCATCCACCCGTGGCCCTTAAGTGGTTTTTTTCCAGGACTTGCTGTTTTTTTGTTGTCGTTTGCAGTGTGCTGACTGCAGGCCGTCGTCGACTTGCAAAACGCGTTTGTGTGATTCCTACCCTTCTTGCTCAGGAACAATTCCGGGAGATGGAGATGTACTCGCCCGAGGGCAACGGGGTGCGCGGCGGCGCGCGGGGGGGCCCTCGGGGCCGAGGGGGCATGATGCGGGGGGTGCCACCCGCCCGGGGGGGCTTCATGAGGGGAGGTGCCGTGTCCCGCGGCGGGGCCCTCCTGTCCCCGCCCGGCCCCCACCCCCGCCCCCCACAGCCCGCCCCCCTGAGGCCGCCCCCGCCGCAGGCACTGCTTCCCCGGCCGCTGCCCGGCAAGACGAAGGTGCTCAGCATCCTGGACCGCGCCCGCGTCGCCATGGAGGAGTCGTATAGCTCAGCCTACGACGACGACCCCTCGGGGTTCTACGAAGGAGCGGGGTGAGCTGTTTACTCATGTTTTCGCAAATCTCTTTAAATTCAAGTCAGCTCTCTTGTGAAAATTACGTTTCAACATACTTTTTACTTGTAGTTTGTGCCCAGTGCCCCCTCTCACCCATACCTGACTAACGCCGTTTCCGTCACTGCCTTGCTCTCGTTCCAGGTATGGCGGATATGATGACTACGACGACGGAGCTGCCAACTTCTACAGTGCTGGTGCGGGCTTCACAGGTAAGTGGCGATCTGGCACCGGTGCCCTATTTTTTATGCATCTCACTTCTCGCTACATGGACCCACCCCCACCCTCCCCTGTGTCACCCCTTCTCCTCTCTTTCTTGGCGACAGATCTTGCCTATTTTGCACTTTTTTCCATACTCTTTGGTACCTAGTTTGGTTCTGTACTGCAACCATTCTGGTTCAGGAACATATTTGTCACCAAAGTCAAAACAGACGAATTCTGAGTTAATTATTGTTTGAGACGCACTCCGCTGTAACTTAAATCGGGGGACCTGCCGCTAAGAATGCTCCCTTCTAGTTTGTGCTTGTGTAGAGTTGGCGTTCTTTTAAGCAGTGTAGGCGCTATGGTTATGCAGCGTGTCACGAAATCCTGGTCACTGGGCAAGGTTTTCTCCAAGAAACTGAGACTTGTCCGCTCCCAACCCTTCTCCTCTCCGTCCGTCCGCCTTCTCGCTGGGAATCCGACCAAAAGTCGGGAGCCGCATGTCGGGGTTCTCAAGGCCCTCGCGCCATTATCGAAGACCTTTCCCATCGGCGAGATTTTTTCCGAGCCAACCAACTTAACTTTCCCTTTTAAAGCCACTAAAAAGCAAGACTAATAAAAGTATACCTTTTCTGAAGCCTCTGCCTTTTTTAATACCTGATAAACCTTGCAAGTTATTGACTTTACTCTAAACAAAGCCGGCCTTTTTTCTGCAGAGGTTTTGAGTTTTTCTAAAACTTTCTAAATTTTTTTTACTTAATGGCATTTTTAAAATGTCAATTTTAACGGTGTTGTTGTCGGTTCCGCCCCGCCTCGCACCCAGTGCATGCTAGCATTGTGTACCGTGTCGTGTTTGTTTTTGTTCCTTTTGCTCGCAGAAGATACCACTAGCCGTTGGAAGGGGTACAAGGCTCCTGGTGGCCCAGTGTCGCGCTACACGCCCAGACCAGCGCCATACAGCAGGCCGCCCAAGTAGTGAGTGAGTTTGTCATGTGATGCGATTCCGACATACACACAAAAAAGTTATCAAGTTTTTAATCAAGATAAAAAAAGAAAGTTAAAGGTGTCACTTTCTCGTTTTTATTTACCATTGTCAATTTTGTTTCCTAAAGGTTTGTGACTATTTTCGTATTGAAAATTTCAAAGTTTATGGATGGAAGTGTCTGATGTTCTTTAATAGGGTAAAATATTAATGTGCAAAATGAATGCACGAGGAATGTGTTATGTTGGTTGTATATTCTTCTGTTTGGACGCAGTCGGACATGTAGCTTTTAAAGTGACTGTCTAAATGTGTTATTTGTTGATTAATTCCGTCACACTCTTCATATCCAATTTTGTAAAATAAATGAAAAATAACGGCCTGGCCTACTTAATAAGGGGAATGCTATACGAGGTGCTGGACCAATTTGCACTCCGATGAGGCGCTTCTAAGTTTCTATGCAAACACCGCTTTATCTCTTCGCGTGGTTTAAGCTGTAAAAAAAATAACAAGCCCAATACATTCCACTGTTAAAGAAAAAGCATCAGCATGCACTATTTTGCCGAATCTGTCGTTCACCCCTCCTAAAGTCTACTTAGTTTATCAAAGAATTTCTCATCAATCGGAATTCATTCGGCTTGCACAAATGTAGCCTTGTATTCCTGTCGGCTTTCATTAGCTCAACTGTACAGTACTTGATGCAAGATAAGTTGATTGCAAGCTGTCTTGTTATCCCTCATCATATAGTTCAATAATATTTTTGTTGAATGTAATTAAGAGAATGATTCTATAAGAAATTAGACCTATAATATGATTCGTCGTTTGTATATATACATTTATTCTCTTGTACAGAAGGTTAAAGAAATAAAATTCTTCAATTAGAGTTTTGTTACTGATACTGTTTTTGTGTTAAATCTCCCCGAAAAAAAAAAACAAAAAAAAACAAATATGTCCTTGATAAAACGAATCTTCATTAAATGAACTGTTAAACGGTGATACGTACTTCGTAATTTTTAAATCTGTATGATAAAAACACAATTTAAAAAAATACATTCAGTGTTGAACAAGCAAATAAAACCGCCACTGTTTTCGGGAACAATCAATGCTTCACTTGTTGTGTGGGTCATGTTGCACAAACCCATCCAAATGAGTTTTACTGCTACGGCGTTGAACATATTTTTTGTAAACGACGTTAGCCACAACCCTCACTTTTAAACTGTGTTCAGCACTGGATTAAACAAAGTATATTGCTGTGTCAAAATGTACGAATTTGTTTAAATTTTACCTAATAAAGATTCATAGAACAAAACTGTTTGATTTCATATCCACAATTAACACATTTCCAGCAAATTCGGAAACCTCGGAATGGAATTAGTGTGAAGGTAACTCGACTTTCCATTTCATTGGTGTTTTGTGCAGTCCTTACATGCTAATTATGAATTCCACTGTAAAATTTGCGATAAATCAAATGTGGGAACTAGGTAACACTAACTTCCTGTCCGATCTTCGAATGCTTAAAATCCCACCGTGCAATTTTATCTATTTTACAAGTGAACGTGCTTGTTTGTAACTTTAACGTCAACTTTACAGTCATAAGAAATGCCTCATAGGCGGCATTTCTCTTGTAACTTCATTCATTAGAATTTATAGTTAGCATCAATCTCCTTATACTTCGTAGACGTTTTAGTGTCAAATAAACCTCCAAAATAATATGCATTGCACTGGACCTAGATGGTAGGCTAAAATTCGTCCTTCTTTGCTCTTTCGCTATCACAAAATATAATAAAAATAAACCATTTTATCCGTCTAAAGACATGAACCATCGCAATGAAGCTGCGCTCAATAAACAAGCCCCATTACTAGGATTTGGTAGTGAAAACCGTCAACTCCGTAAAGTTAAAATTTTAAAGAATATAATGGAATCCTGCATGGCATCGAAGTTGCCCCCCTTCAAATTCGAGAAAACTCACTTCGCACTGCGCTTTGCTCTAGTGTAGTGGAATGTTGCATGGTTACGACTCTAGTGTAGTTTTGCACCGGGATTGTCTTAGTCTACGTCTAGACACTTGATTTTCTTTGGTGTCCTTGGGAGGACAGTGTTTCTGACTGAATCGATGAACCATTTTACTCGTTCGCGCGTCCTGAATACGTGACGTTCCCGCGTTGAGTAAGATGAGGTCAGTCAGGTAAGTCTGATACTCCCCCCAAAAAACACGAACAATTTTGACGCCGGTCTTGTCGCACTTGTAAGTGGGTCTCAAAAAGGAAAAAAGCGGGGGGACGCGCCCGTCCCACTAGGAGTACTGGGATGAGGGCAGGCCCAGATCCATGCACGCCCCTAATGTCTTGGCATGCTTCCGTTCGCCAGGTCTGTCTCACGGACACATTTTGTGACTGCGGGCTCCCCCGGGGCCGGAGTGTCCCCAGCCCCTGCTCTCCAAGGGATGGACCAGCCTCAGCGTCGCCCCAGCCTCCGGCCCCAACGGGCCCTCCGGCCCTGCCCCGGGCCCCGGACACGTCTTCAAAGAGAGGGCATCTCCGCGCCCCCCAGCGCCGTTCCGCTCCGGGCCACAGTCTTGACGTAAGTCCAAATAGAATATTCGTAGAAAATAGGATAAGGATTTCCGGACAGAGAAAGGAAATGATTGACAGTGTAGCTCGCCCTGGCTTTGGGAGGAACCCATCCCAACCGCCCCTTATACTTTGCGTAATGCACCGAAAGTGGGGCCCGGAACACTCCGGATGGATTGCAAAGTTCCTGGGTGCGGGCACGCCGGCAAAGTTACCTACCTTTAGGCAGCCTAACGCTCTCGAAGTAGAATTCAAGTACATTTGACTGTACCTACGTGTGCGTGTGTTGCAGGCGGAGGCTTCCCGACCGTTTGCCGAGGACCAAGATCACCAAGGTCACCATGGGCGGCCGACTCGGAGCGCTGTAGAAACCCCCGACACCGACACGACCCCGTCTGTGATAGCAGCATCTCGAAGCAAGAGAATCGCCTAGGTGTCCCAACATTTTGTAATTTTACGTCTCACCCTGTTACTTGTACTTCTTACAATTCGTCTGTTTAAAATTTTATGGATTCTTCAGCCTGTCCTATTTCAATGGTTTTTTTCACGACTAGAAATAAGAGGTAGGCGGGCTGCGGGAAGACGCTAGCATCAAGTACGATGTCTATAGGCGCGGTTTTTTATTCAAGTAGACTTGAATGTCCGTTGTATTGAATGTCTTTTGTAATACTGTTGAATGAAATGTGTTTGTATTCGTCCGTAGCTTTATGTCGGTTTTGCTTCGAGGCTCACTCTGCCGTGTCGGTGTCTGTTTACTGCTCCACATTTTTTATCATCATCATCTTTGTTCAATGTTTGTACTTGTCTCATCATTACTATGATATTATTTGTTGTAATAATTTGTTATTAAAATGACGATCGTTTCTATTTGGTCTTTGCCTTCTCTGACCTTAAACCACCCCCAATGTGCACTCTCGAGACAGAGAGAGAGAGAGAGAGACACGAAACATCAGGAAAGAGGGTCCTTAGGTAGCAGACAACGAAAAGCAAATGATGAAAAGAACGGACCAGTACACGAAGGAAAAGAAAGGGGTGGGAAATTTAATATTGTTGCTTTGGCTGTACAATCAACTGGCCGTCGACCCGTTGGTGGCGAGGCACGGTATTGAATATCACGCAGAGCCCCTACACGAGAGAACAATGCTCGAATACATTATCGACGGGCCGGGAGGAGCTACAGTGTGGCAGGCACACACAAGGCCGCGGAGAGCCCACACAAGTTCGGGATCATTATTTACATTTCACGAACTGGGGCGAAGCACTGTTTCAAACCTGGCCAAGTGGAAGGTAAAATTATTGAGAACAGATATAAAGCTATGCATTTTTGGGAGACCACAGGCCAGGCTTGCGGCAGAAAAAAAGACACCTAAACTTCAAAAAGTAAAAGCAAAATTTAAAAATGGAGGTTTGAACCTTACTTTACTAGCTTACAAAGCGCTCTCTCTGCCGACCCAGCTACACGGTGATGTACGTAGTTGGAATTTCAGCGCTAGACGGCGCTAGGCGGGCCTTACGGGTAGGCCAGGGCAGGCCCGCCGACGTAAGTTGCCAGCCCTTTTAACACGTCGTCGTAGTTTCCTCACACAAAAGTTTGGCACTAAATTACTGCCAAGTGCGACTCGCGTCTGTACATGCTTCTTTCCCTCATGCTGGGCGAGGCCGGGCCAGGGTGGCGCGGCGCACCTGCGAGGGGTCCATTCTGAGCAGTATCGCTCTGTCTCTCTCGCACTCGGGGGGCACGCCGAAGGGGTGCGAGTGAGACAGAGTGCGGGTCTTTGAGGGCGATGGCGCTTACGGAATAGTGTGGGCTCCCTCACCCACTCTGGGCAAGGGAGAGAGAGAGGAGAGAGAGAGAGAGAGAGAGAGAGAGAGAGGAGAGAGAGAGCGAATTGAAGAGTGCAGGGGACGAGCACCCCACGAACATGACACCTCGCTCTTGAAGAGGCACGTACACGGGGGTGAATACGGTGAATAGCGATACGCGGCGAAGGCTGCGCGTGCCTGCGTGTTCCTGGAGGCGGAAGGGAGGTCCTGGCCGGTTCTCCGTGCCTCGCAGCCCCGCAGCCTGGCAGCCAGCAACAGGCTCCTCGCAAAGTGTTCGCCGAAGGGGCGGATCAAGTTGCGTTGGAAAGTGAGCCAGGGACACCGACCGAGTGGACTGGGCTGCTTACGTCTCGCGAAGGAACGTCTACGAGGAATTCTTTACCTGCATCGCGCGAAAAGCTGCAAGCCCGTTTCAGTCCGGTCCGAATGCAACAACACAGAGACCCTGGGGCGAACGCAAACGGCGTCTTTTTATCGTGCACTGATGAAACGGGCTTTGTTTTTGAAAAGCAATATAGCCGAGACTGTGCGTGGGACGGTGTTTGCATAGCAGGTGAGGCTCGTGGCTGCGACCTGAGAGATCCCACCCAACTCTCGGACCGATGACCTCAGCAAACAGCAACACACACCGAGGCCGACCAGCAGGGGCGCGGCCCTGGCCCGGCCAGTCGCGCGGCCCGACGGAATCTGTTGAACGGGTCCCCGAACCAATTTGGGGCCGAGACCACGTCTCACAAACTAAACGGTGGTAGACCTGCAGTTCGGAAAAGCACCGATGAACGCCATCGCCCGGTTTTGCTCCATTCTAAGTTTTTTTGGAAGTGAAACATATAAGTCGCGATGATTTTATCTCTCCCGTCTCCCCGCTGACAGTCGCTCGCAGCCTGCGGGTTCGCTATCGGTCGGTACTGTCAGGCCACAGAGAAAGGCACCGCAAAACAAGTTTGCTGTGTAAAAGTGAAAAAAAAGAAAAGTCCATCACACTTACAGTACCTAGTTTAAAACAAAAACCTGTCCACGTGGTGACGTAAATGTGTTGATAGTACAGTGTACGTGTATTTGCCTGCATCCCGTGTTGCCATGGCATGTGCGTGTGTGCAGACGTCAGTGTGAGAGAATGTCCTTGGCAACAAGAGAAGTAGGGGGAGGGGGTAAACACCTTCCACCCTCTCCAAGCCGGTGCGCGGTCCCCTGCTTCTCGTCAAAGCGAAAGAGACACTATTTCCCCGCGAGCGACGCACACACCTCCGGCAATCGACCGAAAGTGATTGTTGCATTGCAGGAGGCGAAAGGGGGTGAGACAGAGCACCGAGAACGCACTAGCCCACAGTGGGCCAGAAGACCAGTGGAGGTGGCCGGAACTCCAAACGCGTTTTGAGCTCCAGAGTCGCTGAACAGGACTCGAACCGAACGTGTGACCCCACCAATGGATTGCTCGTTCGGAGAGCAATCCATTGGTGGGTCACACGTTCGGTTCGAGTCCCATTTAGCGACTCTGGAGCTCTAAACGCGTGCGGGTTTTTGACCACCTCCACCG